GGGGGGGGGGGGGGCGTCTGGAGGAGAAGGCCGCACGCGCCGTCGATCACATTGCTCCTAGATCGCACGCGAACAAGAAAACTCGGTCTCTGCCCGCATCAGGGCTTGTGCATGAGGTGCCGCCCACCCTCAGGCCCACTCACTTCTTGTCGCTGCTGGCCATCAGCTCAAACTCGACCTTGGCCCCGGCCTCTGCCGGCCGCGTCACGGCGAACCAGAACGGCTGCTCCCACACGGCGCATCCGTTGAGGCCGCACAGCGGCACCATGCGCGTCGTGACCGCCGCGCCGGGCGGCGGCGTGGCGGCGCTGCCGGTGAGCGACGCGGCGGCGCTGGGGGCCGCGTCGGCGGCGGCGGCGCAGGACATGCGGACGTAGTAGAAGGAGCCCCCAATGGCGTCCGAGTGGTGGAAGCCGTTGTCTGTAACAGAGGATCGGGGTCAGGCAGAAGCGGGTTGGCAGGAGGCAGGGTGTGTGATCTGTGAAATGACCAGCAGGCGGCGCAGGCGTATCGCTGGGGCGGGCGCCGGAGGCGGCCGCCTTGGGGGCGCGCTCCCACGCCCCTCCCTGCTGCTTTGCGGCGTCACCGCCTGCCACGGCTCCGTCGCGACGGCAGCTCGGCTCGCGAGTCGCCCTGCGGCGCGACTGTCAAACCCTGCTTCGTCCCGAGCCCCTCCCTCGACTCGACTCCTCCAGCCCTCCTTACACATGCAAACACACACACAAATCGTACACACACACACACACCTTCGTACGCACGCAAACACATTCACACTCACACACACGTTCACGCATTCACATACATGCAAACCCATGGCCCCGGCCCACCTTCCAGCAGCCCCATGAGCACCTCACGCTCAATCGACCCCACAGGCCTGTGGCGGCTCTTGCCGCGGCCGCCGCCCGGGCCGCCCTGCTGCACCTCCTGACCGCCATCAACCCCCTGCATCCACGGGCGCGCCGGCCCCGCCGGTGCGACCGCCGCCGCCTGGGCCGGCGCGCTGCCGTCGGCGCCCACGGGTGGCGGTGGGAGCGTCCGCAGCTCGCTAACTGCATCTTCACTTTCGCCAAGTGGCTGACCTGGCGACGCCTCGGCAGCTCCCTGCGGCGGGCCGGTTGCCGCCTCAGGGTGCGGCTGCCGCTGCTCCTCGGGGGAAGGCGTCCCCGCGCCCTGCCCGCCGCCGCGCTTCGCCGCCCATGCCGCCGCGACCACCCCCGCCAGCTTGGCCCCCTTGCCGCTGTTCTGCAGCCACGAGCTCCCCAGAGCCAGCAAACCGCCAGGCTCGCCCGCCGCGCCGCTGCCGCTGCTGTGACCATCCCCTGCCGCCCCGCCGCCACCGCAGCCGCCGCCAGCAGCGGGCTCTGGAGAGGCCTGCGTCGCGGCCGTCAGCGCCGCCGCCGGCTCCATGCGCAGCTGCTCCAGCCCTGTAGCGGCGTGCAGCACGAGCCGCAGGTGCTGCAACGGCGGGACCTCCAACAGGACGCCCTCGCGCGTGTGCAGCGAGGCGGCGCCGACCGCGGACAGCGCTGATGCGCAGCAGCCGCGCCCCGCGCTGTACGTGGTCGCGGCGGCGCCGCGCAGGCCGGGCGGGACGTCCACAGCAGTGACAACGGCAAGCCGCAGCAGCACGGCATCGGCGGCGCCGGCGCGGCCCTGGGCGCCGCGGGATGGCTTGGACGAGGCGGGCTGCAGCATGACGGACTGGGTGAGCGGCGCCGCGCCGGGCACCAGGCAGGCGGCGAGGCCGTCTAGTGGGAGCTCGCCTGTGGCGAGCGCCGCGTCTGATCGCAGCTGCTTGCGCGTGGCCAGGCGCACAGACAGCATGCCCAAACGCTGCTGCTGCCGCTCCGGTAACTGCTTAGCAGCGCCCTGCGGCGGCTGCTGTGGCTGCTGCTGCTGCTGCTGCACTTCTGTGCTGCGTTCGCTGTAGTGGCTAGTCGGCCTGGAGCCGGAGGGCAGCAGTGCACTGAGGGGGACTGCAAACGCCTCGCCCCACTCCGGGGCAGGGCCGCGCCGGCCGCGCGTGACGAGGCGGGAGATGCCCTCGGCGCCAGCGATCTCCAGGCTGCAGTGGTACTCGGTGTCATCGCTGCTGTCAACCACGGGGCCGCTTGACTCAACAACCTGCAGCAGTGGTGCATGCGATCGCGTGAGCGCAACCCGGGCGATGAGGTCGGCAGCGGCGTGTCGAGTGTGTCGGAGCTAAGGTCGCGCGCACGCGGCGCGCTCCAGCGCAGCAGGAATGCCTTGGGTATACTCAAGGCCTTGTATACACTGTGCGCGCGCCAGAACTGGGTGCGATGGCAACGCGCCTGAATGATCAGCTGCCTCGCAGGATCCGCTGCGTCCGCGAAGGTTTCCATCATAAAATAGCCCCTTCATGCCATGCAAAGCGACCAGTGACAGCCCGATTCTGCGTGGGGTTCGCGGTCACACCCTCGTGTACAGTATATGGTTGGGCAACAACTGAACGGCAGACAAAACCGACAACGGCCTGCGTTGAGACTTTTGGAATCGATGCTAAGCTCTTGTCCCCCCGCTCGCGCACTGGCGGCAAGGTTGGTCAGCCGGTTGCGTTGGGGCGTGGGCGCGTCTCGCCCGCTCGTGTGCTGTGTCAGTAACCCAGGCGCCTGTTGTTTGTTTTGGATCAGTACACTTCCAAACCTGGGACAGGTGTGTGGATAACAATGTTCTTGAGAAGACGCAACCGTGCTCTAAGTAACCGCTCATACAAGGCACTCGAGGCACATGGCTGACCAAGAGGCGGATGAGGATCGATAGTGGCACAGCTTCGCCTTCAAACCCCTACACCTTCCTAAAGTTGGTTAGGCCGCAGGTCGATAATGCCACTGGCCAGGCCCTTTTAAACCACATGAACCACACGAGAGACGACAGGCCACGATTATGGGCAACCGTGGAGCTGCGAGGCATGTACTGCTTCACTGTCTGCAGTACAATGGCGATGGCACACTTCAAAAAACACCCAACCGCAACAAGGGTCAGAAACGGGTGCCTGTGGGAAATCATGGCGAGGAAGCAAAGCAGTCACCCCACCTTTTTGAGGTCCAGAGTCTCACCTTCTGAACGAGCTTGAATGAATGAATTTGAGAATACTGTTGGGTATGTGTTGTGGGGGGAGTAGCCTTGTCTCCATTCCTGGCAAGGCGTATGGGGCTGTGCTGCTGCGGCGGGTCTCATGGCACCCTGACGCACAGCTGTTCCAAGGGCAATGAGGGTCTCGATCCAGCCACGGTTTCACTGATGCCACTTTCACACTGCGCCAACTTGTGGCGCAGAGCTGGAACTACATGGGGCAATCCCTGTTCCTGGCGTTCATTGACCTGCGCAAGGCGTTCGACTCTGTGCCGCATGACGCGTTTTGGCAAGTGCTGCGGGCCTGCGGCATTCCCCCCCTGCTGGTGGGCCTGCGTATGGACCTGCACGCAGGCACTCAGGCAGCGGTGCGCCTGGGCCCTCTCAATGGTGGGGCGTTTGATGTACCATGTTGTTCTAGGCAAGCTTGTGTCGTGACTCCACTGTTGCCAACACGTGTTCATAGAATTTGTGCCGAGGCAGGCACGGGCACGCGTTCCTAGTGACTGCGGCGCTGCTGTCGCCTTTGGCTGTGATGACACCTTGACCCCCCGATTAGCTGACCGCATCGCCTACCGCACCAACATTGCACTTCTCATGTATGCTGGTGATATGGCCCTCACCTGATCCCGCCCTGACGAGCTGGTACAGTGTCTGATGGTCATGGCTGACGTGTGCGCTGAGTGCGAGTTTTGCATCAACGCGGGCAAATCCGAGGTTATGAGGGCTTTTCCCTCGCTGCTGGAAAAGCGTGATGTACAGTATATGTGTGTTGTTGAACACTCTCCCAGTGGCGTGCTGTTTTCAAGCTGGAGGCTGTGTGGGAGTGTCCTTGAAATGCGTGAGTGGGGTTGGTGGCCTTTTCTAGCCTTGATAGCCTCAGCAGTTTGATGGCACATGCAGGGCTTTTTGCAGCTCAGGCTGCCGGGCACATGGCCGGCCACAGGGTGTACTCGAGCATTTTACAGGTCAAGTTGCGTTCAAGCGTACAACTCACAAGCGGCTCGCTACCAATTCAGACATCTGTCCCACGGCTTGGGAACCTGCGCGCGTGATGCCGTGCTGGCCGCATGCCAGCTAGTACGCCGAGCTTGAACGCCGTGATGGGTTCACCATGCTCCTGGCATGCATGCGAGGAGGTCAGCCTCCTGATTTGCTTTCTGTATGCAAGTACGTTGCCAGGCAAGCGCATTCGTATGCAGGGCACTCATTGACTTTGAGCTGTCTCGCTGCGACAACAGGACAATCCCCACATACTGCGACGACTACAACCTTTAGACAAGTCAGAGCCAAAATCACTCAAGAGCAAGCCCAAGACATCAGCAACAAGAGAATTCCACACCCGTAAACAAAATGGGTAATCTTTCCTCACTCATCCTCACCACTTAATCCCTAATCGCACCCCTTATGCCGCGACAAGCGGCTGCAGCGCCGCCGCCCAGTCCTCCGGCGGCCGCCCCGGCCCCGCCGCCGCGACCACCACCGTCGACGCCCCCTCTGCCGGCAGCTGCACGTCCAGCGCCACCCGCGCCAGGACACACGCGAGGTCCTCCCGGCTGATGCCCTGGGCGGCCCCGCCGCCCCCGCTCCTCACGTCGCCTGAAAACGCCAGGGCGCTGCTGCCGCCGGGGACGTCGCGGATGGCGCCCGTCTTGACGACCACGTGTGGCAGGCCGCTGGCGGCCAGCTGCAGCTCTCGCGCCTCCTCCCGCAGTCCTGCGTCGCCGCCGCCGCCGAACAGCGCCGCCAGGCCGCCAGGCTGCGGCATGCCTGGGGACGCAGGGGTGGGAGGGGGGGGGGAGGAGTGGCGTTTGCGAGGGGACTCCGTGGCAAGCAGTGTGCTGCATCGTCTCATCGTGTCTTCCACTGGCAACAACACAGCAGTGGTTCGGCAGCAGCCGCCGCCACAGCAGCCGCACGGCTGGCCTGACGCCTGGGCCTCAAGCCCGCCTCGGTCTCGCTGAGCGATGATGCGCAAATCTGCCCGCCCCCCTTGTGCCCGTCCCTCTCACCCGCCGTGGACAGAAGCACAATGTGCTCAACCCCCGCCTGCTGCGCCGCTGGCAGCAGCTTCCCCAGCCGCCCAAGCGCGATCACGCAGCGCACGTTGCGCAGAGCGCGGGCCAGGCCGCCGCCGCCGCTGATGTCAGCAGAGATGGGCTCCACGTAGGGCCCGTAGCCGGCCTTGGCCGCCGCCACATCGTTGGCCAGCATGCGCACCTTGGCCCTGCACGGATTGGGTTCGTGTCCGGGCAGGCAGTTGTGCAACAGCAACATTTGTGCGTGCGCTGCTGTTTAGGGCTGCAGCAGTGTCTGCAGTCCCCCCAGGCAGCGTCAATGATGATGTGCAGTCTGGGAGCAGCGCGCGGGCCGGCGGCAATTAAACTTGAGACTGGGAAAATTTCAAGGGGTGGAACGTGCCTGAACCGCAACCGCCTGCACCTCGTCGTAACTCTGGGCCACCTCACACAGCTCATCGCCTCGAGCCAGTGCCTGAGTGCCAGCCCCCCACCCCCCTCCTTCCCCCCCC